TCCTACTTCAGCTTCCTTTTGATACTTATCTCTTTAAAAAACTCTGATGGGGATGTATATGCTCACCGAAGGACATACAGAGAACCTCTGAACCTCTACACTAACACTAAAGCTCATAGTCTCTCCTTAACACATAATCTCTTATTCTAATAAATGTATCTATATTTTTAAGACCCTTTACAAAGATTAATGTACACGTTTTCTTGCTCTTGGATTTGCTTCGCTGTGTCGTCAGATACAGATGGAGTTCCTTCGACTTCTGGTAAAACTCTAGTCTAACATAGCTCTGTAATTTAACCAGTGCATTCTGGTCAAGACAAGCACAGACTAGGAATACGTTTTTGTTTGCTTTAATTCGAGTTTAGAAGAGATTTAGCAATATCTCCTTCGTTTATATGCATACTGATAATGAAAAAAAGATAAAAAACATCACTATTTCGACAGACACACATGCATGGCAACTAACACAATGAAACTACATAAAAGGTCTTGAGCTCCCTATATTGGTCGCCATAAGAAACACCAGCCTCTGCTTCGATGAGCCGTATCATAATGAAGCAGCTTGTCTTTCCCATGTCATGATCAACAGATTTCCCATCACTTGCTCTTACACGGATTAACACAACTGAATAATGTTACCATTTTATTTTTTTTTGTGATAATAATAGTATTACTGTACGGGTGGAGGATGGTGAACAGTATATCACCATTGAAATATATCTACTGTATATCTGTTCAGTTATATCTATTTATATTTTAGACACAAGTCAACCTTCTGGAAAATTTCCTCACACAAACGTATGAACATGTATGTGTGTGTGTTTGTATATATATATATATATATATATATATATATATATATATATATATATATATATATATATATATATGTGCATTAATATGTGTTCGCGCGCACATATTCATTGATAAGATGAATAGCGAAGACACTACAAAATAGCAGGGCTTTCATTCATTGTTCACTTCATGTTTTATGGCTACCCAATTTGTTGTCAGTAATCAGTGATGACAATGAATTATTTTATTATTCCTTTTGTATCATCACCAGTATATTTTTCTTCTAGGAATTATCATATAAAGACCAACACATGTACACACTGCCCGTTATAATGCTACATCAAATTCACGAGAAACCAAAATAGTGGTTCCAATATTATTTGAGATACGACAATATCCTTTGTAATTAGCATATACGGTATCACTCTACTCTGGCAACTTATTCCATGCCGTTGTTCTATTCACTTCACTATTTCATAATTCATATAAACGCGATAATGAGGAACACACACGTTAAACTTTTAAAATAGTTCCAGAAGATATTTTTTTCTGGCAGTGTCCAATTAATAGTCATGAGTGTTACTACTATCACCTAGCTAATAAACTATTTCACACGTTGACATCACGGAAAATAAATGCTGAATTAGAAAGCAGAGACATCATCATCAGAGACATGCTGCCGGTTGCAACCCCAAATCTAAATGACAGGTCCTGGACCAAGGGCGGACGACCCCTAACAAAGAAACCAATAAACATTGCCTAAACATGGCCCCCTTCATTGTATGGGTGTAGAAAGAGAGATTTAGGGAAAACCTGAGAATCTTATTAAAGTTACCACTTATGTTTAATTTTAGATCATATAATTCATATGTGAACAGACATGCGAAGCACCATTGTTAATGATAAATGAATTCATGATAGATTAAAACAGAGTTTCCGTTATAGTTAGAGATATACTTAGATAAAAAGTACATTTCATTCTAAATATCTAGAAATGCTATTAGGATTGGGGTGGAATGAGGACCTACCCCAGTCGCTCAGTCCTGGGTTATAACAAAGAGGAAAAATGGAGATAGCGATTTAAGTAACATATATGTCCACCATGAGAGAAACATTAATTTGAATAACTGCTATATCTACCTTAATTTTCATAAAATCAATGAAATCTGCCAGCAACCGATGGTTTTCTGAATATATTTCATCGTCGTAGTTACACTGTCGACGTATGTAAAGTTCTTGTATTCAAGAAGGATTTCTTTCATAAAAATGTGGTTAGAAATATTGAATTGAATGCTAAAGATTTATTAGGAAGAGGTGTCGAAAATAAAGATGGATTTGAAATTAGATTCTGGATTCAAAAGATTCTGAATCGAATCAACATTGACAGGATTAATTTGAAAGGAGCGTCCATTGGATTTCCAGTTACCGTTGTTTTACTCTTTCCGTGTTCATTATTATGCTTCTTCAGATAATGGGTCAGTTGCTTCTTTACACTCATTTTTGAGGCAATTTACGAAATCGAAGACTATCCATAACTGCGGATAAATAGAACGTAACATTAGTGAAAACAATTTCGTGGTATAAAATGTTTGAATAAAATCTACGACACTGAACTAATCTCATTCAGTTAAAAGAACATTTAAAGAAAAAGTCACAAATCATTGTTGGCATTTGATTATATCTTTCAGATGACTATGGAAGCCTT